TTGTAAAAAAGGGCTTAAGGTTTCAGGGAAAACTGTGCCTGACACATGATATGTTTTGGAAACTAGGGTACAGAAAGAAATAGGTTAATTGTTCTAGCCACAATTATTTTTTTTAATCTATGACTGTTATAGCACTTTCAGCTAGTCGATTACTCTCAAAAAATGATTGGGTCATATGAATTAAATCAAACAAACTTTGCTTTCTCTGTAATGTTGGATTTAGAATGAGGTTTAGGGAGAACACAGATTGAATCAATGTTGGAATAATTGCTTTCATTTTTATTTTATATACAGGGATTTAGGGGTTTTGATAGCTTTAAAGAAGTGTATAGTTTCCAGTTGAGGTGAGATGATAAATGGCATAGCAATATGACTTCAAAATGTTATATAAAGATCAAAACTTTATTATTTTGTACTTTGATGGTAATCCTATATATTGTATGCCTTTTTAGGAATATATAGGATCAAATTGAAATCTCTTGACTTTTCCATACTAAATGTAGAATGTTGTATTATATTTTCAAAATTTTTGGTTAATTTTAGCCCTGATCATCATTATCTCAAGGTCATATTGGATCCTACTCCTGTGTTTAATGTGATAGCTAGCTTTCCCAGTTCTGTGCCATGTTTGCATTTGGTGAGTATATTTTATAATACATACACGCACACACTATTATAGCAAACATTTTGCTTGTCAGAAAATTGTGAGGCGTTTTTGTTAGAGGTTTTGGGGAGATTGGTGTTCCATTCCCACAGCATTGCCCTTATAGAATGACTAAGTGCACATCTAGACTGACCATTTAATGCTGTGTCATACCAGTATTGTAGAAAGTGGTTTTATTGGGCAGATGATTACACAGGAAATCCCTGGACCAGTTTGATGATTGGATGGTGACTATGCAGACCACATTTATATAATCACCCACTTTTGTGAGTTTGTTGTCTGGCTGCTGCAGTTAGAAGCTTCAAATTGCATTAAAATGACCAGTATGGATGGGGCCTAAGTGGATCTAAAAAATAAGAATAAAAGGTTGCTATATACATTGATGGATAAAAGGTGGAGGATATTGAATCTGTTTTAATAGATGCAGAGTTCAAGCAAACAGATTATAGGAAATCTGATTAGAGTAGCTCTGAGAGCCGTATTTAGAATAGTGGGATTCACATTAAAAGTATTTCATGTGTGCTTATGCAAACTTCTGGGTTATGCAGAATACATAACACTGGACATACTTTCTTGAATGTTGATGTCTGCAAGTAGCTGTAGAAACAAGAATACGTTAACTTATTTTCATAGCAGCCAGAGAGAAAGGAGACATTATTCTCAGTACTGTATGGAAGGGTACAGGGCATTATGGACCGACTGTTAACAGATCCAAATATGGTATATGTCCATAAAAGGTTGCCTATAAAAATCAACAGCACCAGATTACTGTCTTTGAGTCTGCTTTTAACAGAGTGAACCCCTAATACTACTTGATAGCCAGTAGATGAAGATGATTATCTTAGTCTGGTTTTTAGTATGTCTTTCCAGTTCTTCTAATTCATAGACTCCTAGTTGGAAGAGTCCACAAGGGGCATCCAGTCCAACCCCATTGTGCCATTCAGGAATATACAATCAAAGCAATTCTGACAAATTGTTATCCAGCCTCTGCTTTAAAACTTCCAGAAAATGAGACTCCAGCACACTCCGAGGCAGCAGTGAACTGCCGAACAGTTCTTACAGTTAGGAAGTTCTTCCTAGTGGTTAGGTGGGATCATTTTTCCTTCAATTTCAATCCATTGCTCCAAATCCTAGCCTCCCAAACAGCAGAAACAAACTTGCCACTTCCTCAATGTGACATCTTTTCAAATATTTAAACATGGCTGTTATGTCCCCCCTCAGCCTTCTTTTCTCCAAGTTAAATAGACAAGCTCCTTCATAGTGCTCGGTTTCCAACCTTTGATTGTTTTGGTCACCCTTCTCTGGACACCTTCCAGCTTGTCAATATCCTTCTTGACTTGTACTGCCCAGAAATAGACACAGTATTCCAGATAATGCCTGACTAAAGCAGAATTTATTTCTCCTAGCAGAAGCAAACCAAGGGTACAGTTGTAATGTATTCAAAAAACATAAAGTTTAAAAACTTGGCATTGTATTAAATGTCCTTTGACCAGTAGCTGGCCACTTGGAGTGCCTCTGGTTTTGCTATAAGGAGATCCTCCATTGTGCACTAAAGCAGAATCGAATGGGACTGTGACTTCCCTCTATCTAGGTACTGTATTCCTGGTAATGCTTTGGCTTTCTTTAGTTGCTGCATCATACTGTTGTCTCATGTTTAGTTTGTGGTCTACTAAGACTTCTAGATTTTTTCTCATGTATTGTTTTCAAACCAGGTGTCAACAATTCTATATCTCTGCATACATAGCATACAAAAATATTATAATGCAGTCACCATGAGATCAACATTGGAAAACTTCACACAGATTTTGGTAACAGACTGCATTATTTAATTTTTTGATACCTCAGTTTTTCCCAACATGGGACTTAACATCAATTACAACAAGCTACATTTAAAAATATTCATGCTACATTTAAACTACATTTAATGCAGTTTCAATGGCTTAGCGAAGATGGATCTGAACAAGTATCTTTTGAATAACTTTGTATCCCTTCTGTTTATTATCAAGTTGTTCCAAGGGGTTTAAAATAAATTAGCTTTTTGATTTGATAATTGATATTGCTGTATACTGGAAGCTAGCTAGCTATGAAGCTCAGTTTCTTCCGGTCCATTAAATATGTTTGTTATACACTACAAAGGTGCATGGTTTGCAAGTGTCAGCTCCTTTGCTTTCTCCTGCCTACTTTTTCAGTCATTTCATGTACAGTAAATGACTCAGAGATAAATGTCCTAATGTAGTAAGAGCAACTTTCATGCAAAGAGAATGCTGACACAATGTACCTAAGAACAGTAATAGAATTGCTGAGTTAAAGCTAATGTTAAAAGAGTAAGAGCGATATTGCCAGGTCTTAAACAAAATTATAGCGGAAGTGTGTTATTTCATCAGACATGAAGAATGCTAATGGAAGGACAGGTTGGAACACTAGTTTTATTGCTTGCAGTAGCTATTTTTATGCCTGACTGGAGGGAGAAATACTGAGACTGAAAAATCTGTGCTGTAGTCAATCAAAATTCTCTATCACTGAATAATTTTTAAACACGTTCATTTTAAGAGTTGCATGTGGTGAAAGTGAAAAAACCAAGACTGTTCAGTGGCAGGGTATTTCTACTGACTTTGTTAACAATTCAGTAGAGACCTTGTCTTCACAGAGACAGCTTCATTTGTTTACACTGGAAATTTGTTTTGATCTACTTCTATATAATAAATTAAACTTTGTAGTCTCGTTGGTATAGATTGACAGTTATGTTATTTTGAGGAGTACAAAATGGACTGTTTCATCTATTTGTTGATAGGAGAAACTCTAGGTTTGAAGAGATAAAACCAGAGGAAGCAGTGTATCCCTCCAATTTTGAAGCCAAACTTTCTCCAGCCAGGTTTCGAATGCCTATACAAATTAAGGGACAGCTGAAGTAGAACATAGGGATGCAGTGACTTCATGCTGTTCCCCTCTTTCTACCCATTCCCACTTTGGACTAACTGCCCACATCACCCAGTTTGTCTGTTTGGTTTATCCCATGCAGAATTTGAAACAGAAGTTTTGTGATCCACATTGTGTGAAGCAAATGCCAGGAACAACTTCTCAGTTAGTCTTAGGAAGGGATCTCAATGTAGAGCAGGCATCTTCAAACTGTGGCTGTTTTGGCCTCTTACTCCCAAAAGTCCTAACCAGCTTGTTCAATGGTCAGGAATTCTGGGAGTTGTCGGTCCAAACAGCTGAAGGGCTACAGTTTGAGGATGCCTGATGTAGAGCCATTTCTAGCCTAGTCAGATTGATGGCACCACAAATGTTGCATGTTGGTCTGACTTTGTGAAAGCTTATTTGGAAGGAAGTGTTCACCATCCCTCTAACCTTTTCTGACATTGCATGTTATTTTTTTACTAGTCTTGCAGATACATAATAAACATTTGAAATTGCAACAAATTATTTAAAGGATCATTAAATTGTAATTATTTTACATTGTCTATGTTACTTTAACTTATGACGGCTTGATATCTTATGATACAGGGCAGGATAGAAATATTTAAATAAATAAATCCTGCACCACTTGAGTGCTTTTAGATCAACAATAAATGCACTTCTTAATGCTGATATTTAGTTTAAGAATACAGCCTTGGAGTGGCTTTGGTAACCTGCCTGCCTAATGAACATTTCTGCATATTTGGACAGTTAAGGCAATTTCTTGTTAACAGAAAACAGAAAAAATTCTTGTTAACAGATGGACCTGCTTGGGCAAGTGGGATTTTCTCCAGTATGTGCAGAATGAAGAAGTATTTGGACACTGGGATTTTGCTGAAGTATGTACAATAAAGGATTTGGGAACAATTCTGTCTACCAGAGGCATGAAGAATAACACGTTCTTCGCCCTGGAAAACTATGGGACTTATTGTTGCTTGACAGGAATTGGTGTGTTTCAGCAGATAAGGGTGGTGAACTTTCTCATCCATACTTCATTCTTATCTCCCATAGCACCCTTTGTCTTTATAGCTGTCTTCAAGGAATAATTGAACACTTATCAGGGGTTTGGCAAGAAACTGTAGCTTTTGAAATGTTCCAGATATTTCTGAATCCTGACTAGATTCTATTTTCCCCTTCTGTATTTCAGGGTTTTTTCTTGTTTTCTTTCTCCATTCAAATACTTCTGCATAATACCGTAAATATAGTTAGGTTCTTTTGTTTCTTGGTTTGGATACATGAACATATCCTAATTAGCTTGGTCATAGTCTTTGATTATATTCACTTTTTCTAATATACATCTATGAGCCTCCCTCTTCAGCAGTGCTTTTGTTTCTTTTTTAATGTATTAGAAACACTCCGTTGTTTCTCACTTGTTTCACAGAATCAACAATTGTCTTTTCATGATGTAATGCCTCTGTTCCAAAGACACCACTTTGTCTATTGTTCACGGCATGGTATGTAGAGAATGTGACTTCTTGCTTTCACTATACACATGATTATTGTGAATTCTGTTGCATAGTTTCAATGACATATCCGAGGGAGTGATACATTTCTTCTGCCCTTGCCTTCACCTTAAAAAGTTGCATTCTCTCTAGTGCTGTCTGGCAGGAGTATATGTGCATGAGAAAGGGAGAGATGTGTGTAACAGTGCAACACTCCTCCTTCTCTTCAATTATATATTATATAATTATATAATTATATATAGATTGGATATTGTACTGTTATTTTTGAATGTTGACTTGTATTTATTTATTTATTTATACGCTTGTATACCACTAATATCTCAGCCTAAGTCGGCGACTCATTGCGGTTGTATGACCAGCAGTCAAGTGACTGAAGCATATACTAAGTGATCATCTGGACAAATGCAATTTCCAGCACTTTTTTAGCTTCATAATTATTATTCTGTCAGATTCCAAGTATCTTTTAAGACTATGTTTTACTTAATCAGCACCTATCAAAATCCTCGAGTTTGCATATAGAGTAAAATCCATATGATAAGGAAAAGGAGTGAAAGGCTAGATTTAAAAAATATTTTTATTTTTTGCTTGACTTCTGCATAGTTTTTAAAAAAAATAGTTTTTCTCTATTGCCCCTTGGGCTCTAATATGGAAGATGCTATGAGACTCCATTGCGTCCTCTAACTTTCAGACTGTTTCCTGTCAATCTCAGGGCTGCCAGAAGCAACATAATATAAAATACTTTTGCTATGCAAGTAAAGGTATATTTTGGCCATGGAAACCAACCTTTGGTATGTCAAATACTCTCAGCAAGAGGGAGGCAAAGGCAACCCCCCCCCCCCCCGAAAAAATCTTGCGAAAGCAAACTTATGATAAATTCGCTTTAGGGTTGCCATAAATTGGAAATGACTTGAAGGCACACAGCAGCAACAATACAAAATATATGTGTTCTTGGACATTGCTTTTTAAAAAACTAGGGGCAGAAATAACATGAAAAGAATAGGGATGGGTTATGTTACTGTAAAAAAAAAGAGTACACCAAACATTTAGTCAGAATGAACAATGTGTGTGTGTTAATTGAAACAACCAGATAATTAAAGCCTTGCATTTTAAATCTCCTAGAGACCATATGGAAGCTTTCCCCAAAATACAACTAGGATGATTTTTTTTCTTGACATGCAGGGAGGAGCTAGTAAATCTGAATTACCTGCTCCCCCTTTTCTATGTTGTGCTGTTCACACATACTTGGGATCTGGAGGCAGCTGCTGTTTATATTACCTGTTGTTGGCAAGTGCACATGATGACTGTAGATTGGCTAAAGAATCCCAGTGTTTTCCAGCTGACATTTCCCAGCATTGTTTACTATAACATGCTACTGCAAGAAAGAACATATTTCTTCAGCTTTCCTTCAGTGTTTTCCTGCTGCCAAAAAGCCCCCTCTGAACTTGATGGAGGAATTGGGGACCAGGCTGTCATAACAAGACTTTATAAATAGGAGTGCCCCTGTCAGTACCTTTGTTAAGTGAGGGGTGCCTGTATTGTGTTAGTCTAGGAAAACTGTTTATTCTGCAAGGTATACAACTTGTGCATGTGCCGAACTCATTGCTGATTGAAATTCCTTACTATTTGTGCTTACAGTGAAAAGAAACACATGTGCATTTGTGAAACACAGAGAAAACCCCATTATTATTATTATCATTATCATCATCATCATCATCATCATCATCATCATCATCATCATTTTGCTCTCTAAAAAGAGACTCAAAGTGTAAAAGATACATTTATATAGGCAATTTTTTGTGTGCAAAGGGATCCTAAACTTCAGTTTTAAAAGTCCATCATACATAAAAAGAATAAAATGATAACATACTTGGCTTATGATGTTGCAGTGTGGTGTTGCCCACCTGCTGACTGAAATGAGACCTTGATTCATTCAGTTTAAAAGATGAATGATACAGATCCTCTTGTTTTATTTGTCAATGAAAATTGTTATAACCCATCTTATTCCTAAAGACCTATGGGTCAGAGGAAGACAGCAAAGCAGCTCAACCAATTACTGTTTATCTTTGTGTATAACTCTAGAGAGATTTTAGGCAAATACGTAGTTGACCTAAAATATCTAGGATGACTAATCCATGGCCACTGACCTCAAAAGCTTTGGTGAACAGCCAAAGTTTAACTTGGTGCAGAAATTGGCCTAATCAGACCTCATGAGAGAAGGCACCACTTCAGAGAAGGCCCTCTCCTGTGTCTCCACATAATGTCTAAAATCATAATCACCATCATTACTATCATCATAATATATTTATTATTCACACAACAGTTAAAATGTGTCATAATTCCAAAATACATTTCATTAAAAGGCACATATTAAAACACATTTCGACACATATTAAAATACATGAAACAAAATTTCAAACGCAATAAGCATAGAATGTGAATTTAAAACCCATAGTTGATTGGAAGGATATGTTTATATAGAGAAAGGCACCTCCTCATGTCCCCAAGCCATTCTGCTTTCATTGTTCAGCTTTTTAAACATTCGATAATGTTGATAATTTGATTATGAGTTATTACCTTTCATTTCAGGAAATCTACCAGCAAGTTTTTGAGAGATTACACAGTGTAAAGTGACAATGCAGAGTGCCACTTCTTGGAACGGTCAACTTGCTGCTGTGCATTATTCCCTACCTTTCCATCTGTATTGTGAGATCCAGGATTATTTGTCTCAATGATGATCTGTCAGTCATCCCCACTTGTTGACACTTTCCTCTTTTCTGCATGGTGAACAAAACTGTAGAGGAATGGGCACTCCCTTATTGTCTATTGTGGCATGGGAACTTGTATAAAGGTATGTTGTATGAAGGTATGTTTTTTCATTTGACTGGAGAGATAGAACGCACACCTATACCAACTGTAAATTGCAGTTTGATAGGCATATTACTAGTCAATAAAAGGAAAGATCAAATCCAGATTTCATGCGTAATAGAATTTGCTGCCCTCTCTAAATGGCAAACAAATTATTTCCTATTTTCCGATCTTGGAGAGCTTGGAAATTTCAATAGATTTCACACTTCTAGTTGTGTTCTATCTTGGTTGATTCTTGAATAGCTTGCCTGAATGCTAATCACTATGTAACAAAATTTGAAAAAATACTGTTCCTAGTTTGAAACTGTTATTTCCTGTTTAATTGTGCGGTACTTCCTTTGAAAGTAGTTGTTATAATCCAGAAAGTTTGTTTTTGTGGCTGTCACAAACCATGTTGAATTGGTTGAGACTCTAAGATATTCATTGAAAAACTATAGCAAAACGTGCTGCAGGGTGTTCTGCAAAAACAATGTTTTTGCAGTTGAATAAACTTTTTTCATGTTTTTATGATAGAACCAATTAGGAAATTATGTTTTTACCCAGGAACAAAAATTGTGTTACATAGTATAACAAAGCATTGTCATCATGTCCCAATAACTTTAGTACATAGCCCTTTAAAGACTGCTTGTATACTTTTTAAAGTAAGTGAACCCTCACAAAATTGATTTTTGAGAAGAAGTTAAATATGCAAACAAAGCTGCTTCTCTTTTTTATATTAGAACTAGGGATAGGTGAGAAATTTGCTGTGTGATTTAAAAGAGCTAACCAATTTGCACCTCAGACACAATTTCTAAGTGGAAGCCCAAACTTTCATAGAGCTGCAAAAGAAAACAATGCATTTGCCAGTACACACACATTTGAAAAATGTCCAGACCGTGAATTCTTCCAAGGAAAAATCCAATACACTTTAATCAACTGTGTGCATAAAAAAGCACAGAAACTTGGAAAATGTGCACAAAATTACAAGAAGGTAAGGAGGAAGTGTGTTGCTTTTTATCTGTCTTGCTAAGAACCACTGTGGTAATGGTTTGTCCGGGGTGGTATTAATATTGGTCATGAGTTTTCCATTGCATTTTTCCTACATTGCTCCTGTGTGATTTGATTTTCATTCAGTTTTAATATGATTTTTTTTTTCATATTTGTTGCTGGGTGCCTTGGAAATTTGTTCAAAAAATTTAAGTGGGATATAAATAATTTCTGTTAAAGTGACTGATTGCCAAAATGACTGCAGTTGTTAATCGTACTGAGTGTGAATCTTTGCAGTGCATGTTGGTGATACTCCTTTTTCAGACACTTAGTCTATCTTGCTACTTATCACCAGACTTGGCTTTACAATTATTTCCATGCTGTAAAACTCATATGTTTATTTTTTTTTCCCCCTTCAAGTGAAGGGTAGAGTTATGGGGAAAGCTAGATAGAATTGAAGCATTTCTGTTGTGTTTCATAGGAATGAGGCATTTGATCAGGAGATTACTAGGGACGGATATTGAACTGGGTCTGTTTTCTGCATTTCAGATGAAGCTGTGAGCCTCGGCTGTGTGTCTCGTTGAAGGGAACTAATGTTTTACATTATTGGTAAGCAAAGTAAATGTTCCGAGATGCTGCTAAAATAGATTGCAGTGTATCTATTTTTAACTCGGCTGTGTTAGTCAGAGACTATTGTGCTAATGCTTTAGCATATTAACTTGCATATTATTTTCTCTTGGCATAACCTTGCCTGCAGATCTACCACAGTTTTCCTCTTTTAGCTGTTGTTGTGCGTTCAGCAATTGCTGAAAGCATTTTAGTTCCAGAGGCAGAAAATCCAAATGGAGCTTCTATGTCATGGCGAATGAATAATACTAAGCAATGGATACTTTGTTGTTCTTTTATTGCACTCTAAATTTTGCCACCTAATGGCTTTGTGTAGTGATTTTTTTTTCTTTTGTGGTTTTTAACTTCAGTTTTCATCCGGAGTAATTCTGAGCTGCCTGAAGTTCATAATGACAGATGCTGAATATTTTCCTGGAATGAATAAGTCCTTTCTGTTTTCTGCTTGCTACAGGTGGGATCACAGTATCTGTGGTAGCCTTTTTCTTCACCATTAAGTTCCTCTTTGAGCTTGCCGCACGTGTAGTCAGCTTCCTCCAACATGAGGACCGGGAGCGCAGAGGAGAGCGGACCATTTATGACTACGTGCGAGGCAATTATTTGGACCCCCGCTCTTGCAAAGTGTTCTGGGATTGGAAAGACCCCTGCGAGGTGGGCCACAGCATGGCCTTCCGAGTGCATGTAAGTGAGCATTTCTTTTTTCATGATAATTCTGGGACTCTGTCTAGGTTTTTATCTCAAAAGAGTACAGGATGCAACTCTCTTTTTGATGCCTGTGAGATTATTCCCTTTGAATTCTTGTCTCAGTTTTGTTACAAGGGCTGAACATTTTCTGCGGAAGTGGATAGCGTTACCACAGACCCAGGCAATAAGAACTTGGTGTCTCCTATAAACCTCCTTCTGCAATAGGTTTCATGTGGAGCTCTGGCTTCCAGATTCAGATGGTTGAGTTTAGTGATCTGATGTTTCTTTTTGGCCTTTCCGTTCTGAGCTTAGTTCTGTCACTTTCTATTTGTTATTTGCCATTTGACTTATTGAGACCCTACAAATGAGAGACCTCTAAAACTTCTGCTGTTAACCTGAGCAGGACATATTTGTTCAGAACCATTACTTCTTTTATTGCGTCAATTTATTTCACTATGTTTAGATGTAAACTCTGGAGGCTACCTTTTCCAAAGCATGTTTGAAGTTGATTTTTTTTTACAGTGTAAAGATTTCTGTCAAGTGTGTTTAAGCCCAGAGATAATGACAATTCCATATCTACATTGCTGAGCATGATATTGAATACTGAGTTACTGTTTTGCACTTCTTGCATTACTAATAGAAAAGATATGTTAACTTTTCTAACATCTCAGCAGCGCACTCACCTGAATTTCTGATTATGTAGCTGTTCTATAAGAATGGTCAGCCCTTCCCTGCTCATCGTCCTGTGGGACTTCGAGTTCACATCTGCCATGTCGAGCTAGCAATGGATATTCCTGTGACCCAGGAAGTACTTCAGGAGCCCAGTTCCAACGTGGTGAAGGTGGCATTCACTGTACGCAAGGCTGGACGTTATGAGATAAGTGTGAAACTTGGAGGCTTGAATGTGGCATACAGTCCTTACTATAAAGTCTTTCAGCCAGGTAAGTCCTACTTTAAGCCATAGCAAGGCAAGGCATAAATGGGAAAACAAATAAAGTGCATTGTCACTTGAATTTTATTTAGCATCATGACCATATTAGGTATTGTGAATATCTAGATTGCATTCTATGTGGCAAGGTTTTAGTAAAAGCGTCAACGTAGTCTTTTAATTCGTTATTAAATTAATTTATAGTCTTCTCTATATGATATATGGGTGGCTTAGCAATTTAAAATATTTAATAAAAATAAGCTTTGTGAAAACTAATTCAATAATTTAAAAGTTGAATAACTTTAAATATTAATGTCTTAAACCATATACATATACCAATTTTGATAAAATACTAGGTCCCAAAACCAATAATTAAAAAGCTAATTTTTAATTGGACACCAGCATAAAACCGATGTGGACACCACTTAGGCCTCTGTTTCACCCATGTCTTCAGTATATTTTTCTCCCATGTCTTCAGTATATTTTTCCCTGCTGGACACAGAGGTGGGCCCTTGAAGCAGATCTCAATCAGGCATATACAGGGAGATATTCTCAATTATTGATGTCCCAGGTGTTTCAGCATAAATGTCACTATAGATTGAGCATCCATTATCTAAAATTTGGAAGTCCAAAATATTTTAAAATCCCAAATTATCTGAATGAGTAGCTGATATACCAAGACCTTTACTTTCTGATGGTTCAGTGTACACAAACATTGTTACGTGCACAAAATTATTTAGTATGTTTTATAAAATTATGTTCAGGCTATATGTGTAACATGCACATAAAACTTAAATTTCATGCTTAGAGAAGCTGTTCTAGTCAGAAATCTAATTGCCAAACTTGGCATTTATTGCTGCTATTAAATTGATTGTTGGATTTAAAATATAGAATATTTATTGAATAAAATAGCTATTACTTCTGAGGATGGTGCTGCTGTAACTCATAACAAATTCTACTGATATGTTTTTATGATCAATTGACATAGTATTATTTGCTTCAGCATATTAACCCTCAGATAGTTCATTACTATATACCAGTAGTTCCCAACCTGTGGTCTGTGGACCACCTGTGGTCTGCAAGAACTAAAATATGGCCTTTGGCCTCACTGTTGTAACAAGACCGACTGGTCTCGCAAAACCCTCATATAGTGCAGAGACTTATTAAATATGGTTTTCTGTGGGCGAGCAGATGGCAACTACTGGATGGCATATGTTCTGTATCAGAAACTAGAGCTGATGTGGTCTATCCAGTGCAATTTTCTGAACCAGCACCCCAAATAACCAAACCGAATCTAAAGTTGACCAGAACTGATTCGTAACCTTTTTGGTACTAATGTTAGAGAGTAGTCTCTGGTCAAAAAAAGGTTGTATACTGTATACTGTTCGACAGTTTCCCATTCTCACTTGAATATGATAAAAAGAAGACACAGACCGGGTTGTTATCAGTATTAGCTGTTTGGAAGAGCAAAGCCAAATTGGAGGGATTACTTTTAAATCTCAGAAAATCCTTGAAGAGGTTTTGGATTTCAAAGTGGGCATTCCAGATCAAGGAGCAGAGAGAATGAGGAGTATAGTCTGGAAAGGATGTTCATGGAATTTAGCCACATCCAAGCTGACTTAATGGAAAGATTAGCCTGTAAAGATAGAGGTTTGGAACACGTCGTCTTAATATATATATTTTAAAACAGAGTTGTAAGGGGATAGATATACCATTAAAATGGGAAGAAGCCTGCAAAGATGGGGTGGGGGAGACTATAGTGAATATGTGTGTGGAGAAAAGAGATATGGACACATACATACACTGTATTAACAAAATGTATCGGGACACAACATGTCTCATGGAAACTTTCATTTATATTTTAAAAGTATATGACTTACTGCTTATTTCACATAGACTCAGAGAGGTTTCTTGGTATGTTCACGTGACATTTACACACTGCAGCCGACACGCTAATGCAGAGCTTTCAAAAATGTGTCTTGCGACACACTACTATGTTGGCTGCAGTCCACAACTTACGTTCGCTTGTAAGATTGCATGGATTTCCAAAATTATTTTCTTCCTTTATTCAGGTACAGTAGTTCCTTCCAAAACCAAAATCGTTTGCCATTTCTCCACTTTGGTGTTGACATGTGGGCAGCCACACACCTTGCAGATAGTTCCCAGAGATGAATACGATAATCCTACCAGTAACTCTGTATCATTGATAGATGAGCACAATTATAGCCTCTCAATCCATGAGGTAAGTGACATATGTTCTTCTGTGCCTCATCTCTTGTGTGACTAGAGCAGATCAGCATATTCTAACATGGGTTCTTTTTGTCCAGCTTGGCCCCCAAGAAGAAGAGCCTTCTGATGTTTTGTTTGAAAAGTCCGTGTTGTCCAATCAACAGACCTGTCAAGTTTTCCTGAGACTCACCCTACTCCGTAGGGGATGTTTTCGTGCCTGCATCTCCTACCAAAATCAGCCTATTAGCAATGGAGAGTTTGATATAATTGTTCTAAGTGGTAAGTTGAAAACACAGTGTGTTTGTTTGTTTGTTTGTTTGTTTCATGCATATGCTGCCTTTCTCCCAGATAGTCTACAGCAAGAACTTGAAAGTCCACATGATAATTTTCCTCTTGTCAATTCACCATGAGTCAGACCACCCTCTCTGCTGCTGTGAGAGCGAATATTGGTTGTGAATATTTGAAAGAGCCATGAGTACAAGCATACAAATCTTATTTTGAAGGATTTTCTGCCAAAATTCAGTGGCGTTCATGAGGACCTGGGGGAGTTGCATACAATCTACAGGCCATTTGTTGGCCATTACAATCCTAAGAAATGTATTGTTGGGGGATTTCACAGCCGGAAGCCCTGGAGTGTTCTGTAGTTTCCAGGCTATATGTCCATGTTCTAGCAACATTTTCTCCTGATGTTTCACCTTCATCTGGATCTTCTAAAGATACCAGCCACTGATGCAGCTGAAACATCAGGAGAAAATGCTGTTAGAACATGGCCATACAGCCTGGAAACCACACAACACACCAAATCCTAATAAACATTATCTGATTACATATAACATGCACACAGGTTCAATTCTGATTTTTTATTTTTACAAAATTTCATTTTTGGACTTGGTTAAAATAAGTTTAAGAACTATCAGACAACCTACTTAGTCAACGAATCTATAAAAATATTAGCAATAACCTGTTTAGAATTTACCACCTGAAATCCTTTGATTCTGATAGTGTCAAACTTTGTCTATCTTGTATCTTGTAGAGAATGAGAAGAATATTGTAGAGCGAAATGTTTCTACCTCAGGGGTCAGTATCTACTTCGAGGCCTATCTGTACAATGCTAGTAGCTATGCCAATACCCAGTGGCATCTTCCACCCCTGCATTTGGGTTCTTCGCAACGCCGACCTTCCACTGCTACTGAAGATGAGGATGAAGACTCTCCTTCTGACAGCCAGACCCCTGAGAAAGTGAAGAAACCAAAAAAAGTGTATTGTTATGTCTCACCCAAGGTAATAACAGCTTCTGATTTTGCCTTCCAAACATCATTAGAGCCATTTTGCAGAACTCTTTATGCATGATTGGCATTATCAATAACTTTCAGAAATTATTTCAGTCTGGCTGTCAGTCATTATTACTGTTGTGGGTGGATGTGCTATGAAAGAGCTTGAAATACTTCTACAAGGAGAAATAGTTCTGCAAGAAAGTGCTGTCCTGACTTGGCTCATTTCTGTGCTAACTAGAAAATGCAACTGGCTGAAAATGAAACTGTCTGAAAATAAAACTGGCTGTAATAAAATCTGTTGGTTTAAATTGCTTGATAAACCTATAGAAAATAATAAATTTATTTTAATATTAGCTATTTTAATGTTGGGAATAAGAAAAACCGGGTTGTCGTAGGTTTTTTCGGGCTATATGGCCATGTTCTAGAGGCATTCTCTCCTGACGTTTCACCTGCATCTATGGCAGGCATCCTCAGAGGTAGTGAGGTCTAATAAGAAAAAACATTTTTCTTGGTTCAAAAGAATGATAAATAAGGGAATAGAATGAAAAAGTGTCACGTTTAGCTTGAAATAACTATAGAGTTAAATCATTGCTAAAAGAGAGAGTGGAAGCTATTCTTTAGTTTGTCCTTTAATATATATATATTTATTTTATATATTTTCTCTTTTTTGTTAAATATACTTACATATATGTAGAGTTTTAGTCTATTTGGAAATTCTCAATTAAAATGTATTTCCTTAAAGCTACAGCAACAACTCATGATATCTGAATAGATAGTTTCATCTCACAGGTGCATAGCAAATAAGTCACAGTGGGGCTTTAAGGATTATTAATATTTCTTCCTGACTAAATTGGACATTGTTATTATAAGTACTGTCATATTCAAGAAAAGTTGACTGCATTGATTTTTGTTACTAAGCAGATACAAAGGGGATAGAGAAATAATCCTTCCTTAGCTACCACTCCCAACGTGGTCTAAGCCAGAGCTTTCCAAACATTTCAGGTTGCTCACATACTTTTTAGAACTGCATCATTTCATGACACAGTTGTTCAGTTTTACTAGCTATATTTATTCAAAAGAATGAGGCCATTCATTGTTCAGGTTCTTTAAGAAAACAGGCTTTCTTATTCGGTAGGATTATGGACACAGAGCCTCAATGAATGTGAGAGACCATGAATAAAAAATGCTATTTTTAGCTTGAGAGGACACATCTCTAGAAATTTCCAGGTCCTCCAGCACAATTATCTTCACATTTTGCCAGACATTGACCACAGAATCACACTGGAGGACCTAGAGATTCCTACAGAGAATGTGTTAATCAAATCTGTGAATAATCAAATTTGCAAAAGTCAAAGCCGCAATTCAAAGTGCTGGCTTTAGCCTATAAAGCCCTAAATGGTTGTGACCCAGCTTACCCGTCCGAACATATCCCCCTCTATGACCCACCTGGGAGGTTAAGATCATTGGGGGAGGTTCTGCTCTCAGTCTCACATCCTCGCAAGCACAACTGGGAGGGACGAGAGACAGGACTTTCTCAGTGGTGCCCCCTCATCTGTGGAACTCACTCCCCAGCGAAATCAGTTCAGCCCCCTCCTTCCTGACCTTCAGAAAGAAAGTAAAAACATGGCTCTGTGACCAAGCTTTTGGCCATTAGTGCAGTGAAATAAGTGAAATGGAATTATATGCAATAACTACCGGAATGGCTTTTGACTTATGTCTTTGGATTGCGTGATTTTAATAATGCGCTTTAATGTTTATATTGCTTTTTCATTTTTGTTTTAATGTACATGTTTATTTTATTATATGTCTGTTGATATGGCATCGAATTGCTGCTGATTGTAAGGCTACTCTGAGTCCCCTTCAGGGTGAGAAGGGCTGGATATAAACACAGTAAATAAATAAATGTGGAGGGCCGATTATAGTATATTCATGAAGAGGTGGTTATTCATAGCTTCTGTTTTCTTTGGCTTTAAAGCAATTCTCGGTAAAGGAGTTCTACTTGAAGATCATTCCTTGGCGCCTCTTTACTTTCAGAGTGTGCCCTGGCACCAAGGTGAGTTGACAAAACTGAATGGGTTTTTTTTTTTTGGAGGGGAGGGGGAGCTGAATATGTTTGTTCCAGTTTTCAGCCTAAATGACAAATGCTTAAAAGTAATATTTTTATCACAATGTTATAATGTAGGTCTTGCTTGGGAGCCTGTTGTAAACTTCTCTTACATTACACTTTGTTCCCATCTCAGCTTCTTTTTTCTTATAAACTTCCTGTCCATCCTCTAATAAGGGAAGTGCTGAGGCATAGTCTCTGGGAACTGGGATTTTATGACAGCATTACTTCAGCTGAATGATTGGCAGTACCTTTCCTGCAAACTGACTCTGAGCAGGTGGAGTGGGGAAAAGAATGTATGCAGGGGATGACTTTGCTACATCTGCTGAGCTTTCTGGTGAATTATGGTTTCCTTTCAACTCTTTCCATTTCTTTGCTGCTAGTTTTCTTACCATGGGCCTGACCCTGTGCACAAGCTGCTGACACTGGTGGTGGATGATGGGATCCAGCCTCCTGTGGAGCTCAGCTGTAAGGAGAGGAACATTTTGGCAGCCACTTTCATTCGCTCTCTGCATAAAAATATAGGTAAATAGAATTAGGGCATAAGTTTCTTTTGCTTAGCGTATAATGCAAAATTAGGCAAAGTGTGATTGTTTTAGTTGCCCTCAATGCTGCTATGTTATTCTGACAACCTTTTGTTTTGTTTTGTTTTGTTTTGTTTTGTCGCTAAAACAGAAGGTGGATTGATTCCTCAAAAATGTCCTGGAATAGCACTTTTAAATAGGTTGCAAGGCCTCACTTCTGTTAGGACCCAGAAGTGTGTTGGCGTAATGAAAATCACGCGTAGTTCACATTTTATCAGCCCACACACTGTCTTTCCAGAGAAAGAAATATATGCCATGCAGATTATCAATAAAGACAAGAAGTTTACTCTTTGTGATGCAAAGCAACATATTTACAATCATGAGCTCAGTTACATTGACTCATACAATGTCCTTTTTGAGAGATATAAATGGCCTTTCAGTGTCCATGTGGAATATCCAGCAGCTCATGAACCAAGAACTGTCACCCTCTCTCTATACAAAGCACCCCCACAGCTCAGCTTAAATATGAAACTGTTGCCAAAACTCCCAGGCTCAGCTATCTCCCTTGGTGTGACCCAACTAATCAGATTTGTGCTTTGCATTTTACAGCTAATACACTCACTAACTGATTTCTTACATGCCCTAACAAAATGGACTCCCGACTTTTTCTGTTTTTTATTTTTTTGACAGTCCATGTGACACCCCCCCAAGTAGAATAAAATTAGCCTTTGGACTGTTGTAGTAAGCTTCCTGTGGTTTAATGTAATTCAGGTGCTGATCAGTCTTCCATGGTGGACTATAAGTATTATCAAGCATTCTGTGTTATCTGCCTCAGACTTTGCCTATACATGGAATAGCACAAATATGAAGAAGGGAAGGAAATGATGGGTAGAATTTATTTATTTATTTATTTTATTTACTTTATTTGTATACCGCCGTTTCTCAGCCTAGCCGGCGACTCAACGCGGTTTACAACAGGATAAAAACAGTCAACAATCTACAATTCAAAACAAAAGAGCACAATACACAATATTACACAACAGCAACAACCAAATGCGTCTCATAACTAGAGTCGAGATCCAAAATTCGTCGTCCATATTTCAATTCCTGTGATCGTCACATTCATTGCACTGATTAATCAAAGGAAACAAGGCATAAAGGAGTCTATATGGTGTTGTGAATGGAATGTTATGTTAGGACTCCAGGACACAAGGCTGGAAACTTTATTTGTACGCACATGCTCTCAGATATGGTACATGGGACGAGATCACATTAGCGTTATAGAACAAAGGCTTTCATCTCCCCATTAGTTGATTTACTCCTGCAGAATTTTGGGAAATGTGGCTTAGGGAAGGCGGGACCTCTAAGAATTCCAAAGGCCCTATTCTAAACTACATTTCCTAGTATTCTGCAGGAACAAACTGGGTGATTGCGAGGCAAAAGCCTTGTATAGAACTAATGTTATCTCGTCATTTCAGTGTTTTTTGAAATTGTGGTTTATACTTCTTTGTTTTCTTACGTCCTTTGTAATGACATAATGAAGCTTTTTGAGATTGTAATAAATCTGTATTTTGTTACATTGAATTACTATGCTAAGCTATGAACTGTTATTAGGCAATGCTGTTCTTCAGACTGTGTGATAGATTGACTCTTGTATCTTGGTATCTGGTATTTCGGTATCTGCTATTAAAAAAAGCTGAAGATACAATTAATGTTTGAGTTGTTTCATAAATCAGAGATGACCATGGGCTTGTTGGTTTTAGGAGGCTCAGAGACTTTTCAAGACAAAGTCAACTTCTTCCATAGGGAGTTGCGTCAGGTGCACATGAAGAGACCCCACTCCAAAGTTACTTTGAAAGTCAGCCGTCACAACCTCTTGGAGTCAGTGAGTGTTTATTTTACAGAAATATTAGGTTGATCTTGTATGCCTCTTTTAGAGCAGTGCTACACAAAGTGATGTTTTTTTGAACTGGTGGTTGTTCACCAGCCATCAGTTGAGATTCTAGAAAAGAAGGCAATAAATTGAAACCAGTGAAAACAAATGTGGTGCTAGTCCCTAATACATTGGGGACATATCAAGTAGTTTGGGAAGGACTGTTTCATAGGCAACTTCAAGGGGCCTCATACCCAACTTGCACCATGCAGAAAGCTTTTTCTTTTTAGGCATTTTGCTTTCTTCATAAGAACATTCAAATTTTCAGTACATCTTATTTAAAAGTAAGTTAAAAATTTAAATGACTCTTACTAAGATAAAATGACAAATTTTATTGTTTGTCTTGCAAAAAGTGGGGGAAACTTGGAGTGGCTGAAAAAATGGAGAAAGGCTACACAAAAAGAGAGGATGGGCAGGGCGGTTTTCTTATTTGCATGTACAATATGGCTCATATTTTCATGGGACCAGTCCTTGTAATTTTCCCATGTTCAAAAAAAGTTCTTTGTAAGCATTTTCTAGGTCCCCCACGTGATTCTATGGTATGCTTCTTCAGTAGTTGTCAATACAGTTGCACTGGGGGACCAGTGAATTTAGAGAGGTGTTCTGTCTAGCCATCTAGGTCCTCCAGCATGATTCTATATCAGGCTTCTGTTGGAAGCTGTTTTTTTCATTAGGGTTCATTGTTATCCATAGTTTCACATTTCCACAATCAGTCCAGGATTACCTGTTGTGGATACAGGGGTTATACTGCCCCTGATGGCGCAGTGGGTTAAATTGCTGAGCTACTGAACTTGCTGACTGAAAGGTCGCCAGTTCGAATCTGGGGAGTGGCGTGAGCTTCCACTGTTACCCCTAGCTTCTGCCAACCTAGCAGTTCGAAAACATGCAGATGTGAGTAGATCGATAGGTACTGCTTCAGCGGGAAGGTAACGGCGCTCCATCCAGTCATGCTAGTTGCATGACCTTGGAAGCGTCTACGGACAACGCCAGCTTTTTGGCTTAGAAATGGAGATGAGCACCAACCCCAAGTGTTGGACATGACTGGACTTAATGTGAGGGGAAAACCTTTACCTTTAACTGTATTAAATGCATGTATTTGCATATAATAGGGTCATGTACTTCTAGATTGTAGCCTGCATTAGTCCTTTCTGACATGCTCACAGGAGGCAGCAAGAAAACCCCACTGTTTAGTTCTTTCATTTGTTACTTATGCAGAAAAGCCAGTGTAGTTGATAACAGAGACTTGTTATCTGTTCATCCAAAAGAAGTTATAATATTAGTCTCAAAATCCATTTACACTGGACTTTCTTTCTATAACTAGTCTCTGAAAGCAACACGGAACTTTTCTGTTTCTGACTGGAGCAAAAACTTCGAAGTAATTTTCCAAGATGAAGAAGGTGAGTACTTCTGTGACTGTGCATCTTAGGGCCCTTCCACACAGCCCTTTATCCCAGAACATCAGGGCAGAAAATCTCACAATATCTACTTTGAACTGAGTTATATGAGTCCACACTCAGATAATGTGGGGTTTTCTGCCTTGGTATTCTGGGATATAGGGCTGTGTGGAAGGGCCCCTAGAGAAAGAGAGGCATAAGATCTCACTTTGGCTTTCTTGTGTACTGTTAAGGATCAGAATTTTATAGATTTTCCATAATATTTTGCAAATAACCACAAATATAAAATAAACCTCTCATTTATGAAAATATCATAAATCAAAGTAATACACCCAAGAAATGACAATGAGTAGCAAAGGTAAAGCAGTCATCCAGCCCTCTTGAATGTGAAGATTTAGTTGTATTTTTTGGATGTGGAAATTATTGCTGATGCATTTCTTCTGCTCTTAAGTCTAGAAATCAGATTACACAATATAGTCTATACTTCTTTACTGCTTTGTTTAGATTAGGGGCATCAAACCCATTTTCACAGAGGGCCACATTAGTCTTATGGTTGCCTTCAAAGGGCCATTTGTAATAGTAAGAATGTATAAATGTAACTTTGTGACCCTGGCATTAAAGCCTCACGGGCTACATAAAATGATGTGGTGGGCCAGATTTGGCGGGCGTGATTTGGAGGGTACAAGGCTATTGCAGGATCTGATTGGTCTTGGATTTGTTCTGTCTTTTAGCCTTGGACTGGGGAGGTCCTCGCAGAGAGTGGTTTGAATTGATCTGTAAAGTTCTATTTGATACTTCCAATCAACTTTTTACCCGCTTCAGTGACAACAACCAAGCATTGGTAAGTATCTTTCTCCAGTAAATAATTGAAATAAGGGATACTGTATCTGTTTATGTCTTCAATGTAGAGATTTGCGATCAAACATTTATGTTCCTCTCACAGTTTTTTCTTTAGTTTGTGCTGTTTGGCAAGGTTATGAGTAGGTCCAATGGGTGAAGGAGGAAGCTAGTATGAACGTATTCTAATAAAAGGTAGTAAAAATAAATGCTGGTGCTGAGCAAAGAGAATATCACTTTTCACCACTGTAGATAAGTTTTTCAGGTATCCATGGCTACCAAATTTGTCGAGAAGGCAGCAAAAGATTTTATGCCTCTTGACTGATCCTACGAATGGAGATAATTGGCAGTTGAATGGAAAATGTTATATACATGTCGTGTTTTCCGTGTGTATGGGAGTATCTATCTCCAGGAAAGAAATTCTACATTAGAGTAGTAGTGGCTACAATAGATCAGGGTGCTGCTTTTCTACTCCAACATGGCAGGGCTTACATGGGCTGTCCAAAATGACAGACAAATCACAAACAGCTCAGAGTGGCTGGAAGTCCATTTCTAGTTTGAAACACAAGCATTTTGATGGCAAACAGTGCAGTGTATATGATGTAACACGTTTCTTTGGTCACAGAGATATCCTAATGTGATTTTGTACTGTTTCTGATGGGTTCAGGGCACAGATGACTAGGGATGAAAGGTGAAACCCTTTGATCACAATGTACAAGACATATGCATAGAATCTGGCCAGTTTAGGCTTGCCCTGATTACTGTAAGCAGTGCTGTGGTAATTTGTGTTCTCTCTTGATTGTAGGTGCATCCTAACCCCAACCGGCCACCTTATCTGCGGCTGAAAGTATATGAATTTGCAGGCCGTTTGGTTGGAAAGTGTCTTTATGAGTCATCTTTGGGAGGAGCTTACAAGCAGCTAGTAAGAGCTCGATTCACCAGATCATTCCTGGCTCAGATCATAGGCTTGCGGATGAATTACAAGGTGATCTATCTTTTGGTCATTTGTTATGTTTTAGAATGTGCAGCAGAGAGCAAAGTTGATTTCACAGTCTTTACTAAATTTATTTTCTTTCCTTTTTCTCTTCTTTGTTTTTTTTCTCATAGTATTTTGAGACAGATGACCCAGAGTTCTATAAATCTAAAGTTTGCTTTATCCTAAATAATGATGTGAGTGAGATGGAGTTGGTCTTTGCTGAGGAAAAATACAGCAAGTCAGGACAACTTGAGAAGGTGAGGCATTACTTGAGACATTACAATTTGGGTTACCTTTGCTCCCCCCCCCCCCCCCCCCCCCCCCCCCACCAAAGAAAATTGGGGAAAGAGCAGTTTGTCACTAGAAAGGAATAGATATTAAGTGGATGTGGGCAGGTTGTGATGTTCCCAATATATGTTTATTTATTTCTATATCCTACCTTTGCCTGCCATAGGAATCAAGGCAGCTGCTGCTCCTTTCAGCTCAAGCAAAGGGTATAAAATTCTTGGAGTTTCCATCATGATTCCTGTGTAGATTGATTAAACAGTGATGACTTTTCACCTTTGCCTGAGTTTTTTGTCATATTTTATTTTCAGGTGGTTGAACTGGTAGCTGGAGGTGCTCAAGTGCCAGTAACAAATGAGAATAAAATTTTGTACTTGAATCTGCTTGCACAGTACAGGTTAGCCAATCAAGTTAGAGAGGAAGTGGATCACTTCTTAAAAGGTAATGGGATTAATATGATTGGTGTGCTTTTTCAAAATCACTATATCTTAACTGAACCAACAGACCAAATCCCACTCCCAGAATAACTGGGCAGTGCTTTGTCAGCGTTCTTCCGTGTTCAAGTGATTATTCTTTTGTGTTTCCAGGTCTCAATGAGCTAGTTCCTGAAAACCTCCTAGCTATTTTTGATGAAAATGAACTTGAGGTGAGATTGCATACTATTATCTTTTAGACCACTGGTACTAAAAGTGTGATCTTAGACCGCTGCTAGTCCCTGATATTGGTCCCTGACAGTTCCTGGCACTTAGATCAAAAATAAATGCTGGTCCACCACATCAGATAGTTTGAGATGCACTTCTTTAGACTGCTGTATCTTCTAGGTAAAACTATATCATTCACAGAAATAATGATGACTTACCTAGGTTGGGAAGACACAATTCCTAACAACCTCAGGTCTTTTCCTTTCCCCTCTCAGCCATTTAAGTGGCTGAGGAGCAAAAGAAAAGGGCCAGAGGCTGTTAGGAATTGTGGGAGTTAAAGTTCAAAACCCTTGGAGGATCAAAGTTTGCCCATGCCTGGTCTTGAACCAACTGTCTTTTAGTCATTTGCAAGGACCCCTGTTGGAGGTACTTGAGCCTATGGTGCATCATACATATTTATTGAGTCCCAAGGGAGAAGTTACAACCTAGGGCACATCCCACCTTAGAGATGTAACATCTCAGGTACTACATATTGTAGACAGCAAAAATTGTGTATATTTGAAATTCTGAAGAGAATTGTCAAACCCAGTTTAGGACAGCCTGTTTGTTTTGGAAGCAGCTGGGCAGAACAAATATGTCCTCATATTCTGACATTTAAAGTTCTAGAGCTGACTACTAACTAAATGCGTGAAACCACTTAAATCTTTTTGACTGAAATTGCTTCTTTTCTTTCAGTTGCTGATGTGTGGTACTGGAGACATCAGTGTCTGTGATTTCAAAGCACATGCTGTAGTAGTGGGTGGTTCTTGGCACTTCCGAGAAAAGGTACATAGAATGACTTGCCTCCACTTCAATAATAGATTGGCTGTCTTTTTAAATAGTGGAGGATGAAAATGGTGAAGGAAAGGAATGCAAAGATTGGATACCAAACTTTCAAACTAAATCTGTATCAGTGAACCATATATTTTTATTTCTGTGATTTCATGCTAACCATCCCAGGAATGTTCTTTCCCCTTGTGCACTTCGTGCTTTCTTAAAAATATTACTTGGGTCAAATGTATGTTATTTTAATAACAAACCAAATCTAGTTTTGTTATTTAACATTTTGTTGATCCATTACTAAAAATAGAAAGAAAACAAATCCTATGAAACCTTTAGGATTTAGCAAGGTCTTGGGAAGTGGAGGTTAACAATTCAACTCAGGAGATGTGATCATGACATGTTTAATCCATTCCCTGGTATGCCCTCATAATTGGCAACACTATGTAACTTATTTTGCAAGAATTTTTTAGCTGGATATTCTCTCTGCAATCTTACAATGTTCTTAACTCCATGACTTCTTACTCAATTGTCCAGGTAATGCGGTGGTTTTGGACAGTGGTCTCCAGTTTCACACAGGAAGAGCTCGCGAGGCTGTTGCAGTTCACCACTGGTTCTTCTCAGCTGCCTCCTGGAGGATTTGCTGCACTCTGTCCGTCTTTCCAGATTATTGCAGCTCCAACGCACAGTACACTGCCAACAGCCCATACTTGGTGAGAACCTTTTGAGTGTTCTTGTGAGGTTGTCTTGGTCATCTGTCATCAGCTTATACTGGTAGCAAGCAACTGATTTTTTTTTTTTACTTCTGTTGTGAGGGAAGGGAAATTTATGGTTGGTCTGGAGGTGCCTATATTGGTTACCATTGAGAAATGCTACCTGAGGCTGCTCAGAGTTGCAGTTCAAAAATATCTGGAGGATCACACTTCAAACTTCAGGCTTTACATTCTGTTTGTAACACAAACACAAGTGTAACTCCATCTTATTCTTACACATTTAGTTTTTCGGTCATTGTGGAGGTTGCAACAACTGCACCCCCCCCCCCAGCCAGAGATAGAGCGATAACATAAACAAAAGGAAATATTTCTTCCTTTTGCACCTAGATGGCTGTTTTAACAACAGAATGCATTTTGATGCTTGTGACAGGGAGACATAACAGTTTTGCATGTGGAACTGTTATACTACAGAGGACTATATAGAATCTTGGCCTGGATGTCACAATTGAAACACATATTCCTTGTCTAGAGAATACTGGAAGCGTTATGTGTTGATGTTTCATATTATGTACCACTTCTGTTCTTCCTTTCAGTTTTAACCAGCTGTGCCTCCCAACGTATGATTCCTATGAAGAGGTGCACAAGATGCTTCAGTTGGCCATCAGTGAGGGCTGTGAGGGATTTGGTATGCTCTGACTCCCCCAGGAAGGAGTCCATTTAGCTTTCTGAACTCTTCAGGGTAGGTCCAGCTTGACTTCCCTCCTCTAGTCTCATGCCACTCTCAGAGCAAGAGGATGGAGCAAAAACACCATGCAAACAGAAATGTCAATCTGCGATGTCACATAGATGCCTCCCTGTCTCTGAAGCCTCTTATTAGGAGCACATATGGCCCCTTTCCCTTCCCAGTATGGTACATGAAATGGGGTTCATCTTTTGGGGTGACATGGTACTTGCATTTCATAAGGCATCATATGCCTGGTTTTCTGTATGAAGGAAGTTCATAAGCAAATGTTAGAATTTTGATACAGGAGAAAATGTGTCATTTGTAATGTTCTGGTTACGTTGGGGACGAGTTAGACCAGTGTAGAGTTCTAAATCCCCAGATTTTGGGAAGCCTTAATACCTTTCCATGCCTTGGCCCAAGTTTTCACATAAATTGTCCTCTTGGATTTTGCAGGAGTATATAGTTTTTCTTACCCCACCCCTCCCTGCTTTTGGTATCCTGCCCTTTAGGGATTTTTTTTTAACTTTTCCTAGCCACTTTGCACTGGGTAATGCCCATGTTCTTGCTGGGGAAGGAAGGAAGGAAGCATTTCTGGAGTGCAAGTGCTGGTCCAACAGTGGCATAATTCTACCTCCACCAGGAGCTGGCATCAGGATGTATTTTTGTGGTGACAGTGGCTTCCGCTGCCCTTTGCCATTGAATTGGAAATGGAGTTTGTCCCCCAAGTGACTGTTTCTAACATTGGTCATATTCAGAGAGGATGGATGTACATATTACACCTGAGATCTCATGAATATCCTAGTACTGACCTATAGGGATATTTGAAGGCAGAGATGGTAGGTCAAGAAGCAGCTATTAATGTGTGCATCAAACATACGTTTGTAAATTAATAAATGGAGGGATGAGTATTGAATAGAGCCCAGTACTTCGGTCTCTCTCTCATTCCACAGGGTCTGGTGTCTACCTCTACCACATGGCAGCAACAGTATTATTTCTGTAGCTTGCATCAGGCAGAGAATTGTTAAATAAGGCTTTAATAATTATTCCCTCCATATTGTCAGTTACCTTGCATTCTGTGTCCTGAGCATTCCATGACATGAAGGGATTAAAATAGAGGTATTTATGCATGCAGTGAAGAAGTGGGTGCCCAGAGCGATACAATGCTCTGTTCCCTTCTCAGGTGAAGAAAGCAACAGTGTGAGCTGCCATGTATAATAGATGAACATCTCTTGATTCTGATTCCATCCCCTTCAGTGCTCCCATTTCCTTCAAAATAAGGAATAGGAATTCAGGGATTCCAGATGGCAATCTAGCTAGCTTTTGTCAGTAAAGCCAAAATCTGATTGTATGGTGAACAGAATATTTTGTCAGCACCTAAAATATGTTTCTCCTGATCAAGAGAGAGATGTTAGTGGCTGTTGATAGAGTGAGAAGTGCCTACATTATGACTGTCTGGATTAATGGTGTCCTCCCCCCCCCCCCTTCCCACACCTGCAAATAGAATCTTAGTTAGATCGTTTGTAAAGCAAACCCTCAAAAATAACAATTTATGGTTGTGCAAAGCCTTCCAATTTCAATCCACTGTAGACTGAGGCTATAGCATTCTTGAGAAGACAACTGGTTATAAAGATAATTCCGTGCTTTTCCAACTTAAGCTAAATCACTAGTAATTAGAGAAGACAGTTTGCAAGCAGCATGAATAAATTTTAAAATGTCCTTTATCTGAATGCATATCACATTTGTACAAAACTTAAAGCCATTGTTTTGCCAAAAATGTTTAAAACTCTGAGTATTGGAACAACTCAGGGACTCCTTCCCCTTGGGGCATTTTAGAGACCACCACTGTATTTATCTTCATAGTAGGCATTTTGTTTCGCCTCAAGCAGTTGCTCTCTGAAAAAGCTCGTACGTGCCATCTTACTGCACTAAGAGTGGCTTCTAGAAGCAGTGTGATTTAGGCTCCTGAACACCTTTTGTCACTATCCACTGCTTTCTACAGGGACCAAGAGGCAATTATGCTGCACAGCTCAGCCAGTGAATGGTTGGGGGTCGCTGCTTGGTGCTGCTCCAGTCCTTGTCTTGTTCCCTGGCCTACTGAAGGCTTTATCCAGTGATGGCTGGAGGTTGGTTTTGCTACATCTTCCTCAGGAATCCTCTCCTTTCTTCTGTAAAGCTCAGCTGTTTTTATATTGAGAACTGAGTGGCTGGACATTCAGCAGACATCCTCTGCTTGAAACCACTCTCTTAATAATATGTATTTGGCACTTCTTGCCTCTCTGCAGATGCCAAGGATTTTCTTTTTACACAAGCACAGTCAGAGCAGTGGTGGGTGCTGCTAGTTCTTCACTATTCATACATTTGTGTGTATGTTCCTTCTCACTTCCATCATTAGCTGGGTCCATTCTCCCCAATGCTTTATAACCTCAATTATTTTCCTATCTTTCTCTTAGTGTTCATTCCTAACCTTATATGTTGCTCAGATTCCCAAGTGTGAGCCATGATACAGACTGCTCTAGCCATCTATATTGTGCGTGTATGTTATGAAAAGACTTCTTCCTATTCATTTCTTCCATCTAATATTTAATGCGTCAGCTTCCAAGATGGAGGTTAGAGCCATGATACAGTCTCAAGTAAATCTCTGTCCTCTGGAGCTGCTCTGGATACCATAGAACTTCACCTGCATCTGAGAAATATCTTGCATGCTTTAGAAATCAAGATTTCAGCTTGGTCAGGGCCTATTTCCAGCTAGCCAGATCTAGACAGGATTTAGCAAGAATTATGTAAGCCTCTACTAGTTGATTGTGTAAATAGTTTGTATAATAAATAACATTTAAAATACATTGTGTGTTCGTGTTGTTTCTCATACAGGGCTTGTTGAACACTTCGAACATTAGCAATTGGACACCCCAAGTCTGCTGTGGTCTTTTTCACAGTATAGAATTGTAGCACCTTGAAACCACTGGAAGTGCCATGGTTTCATCCTACAAAATCCCGGGATTCGTAGATTTGTATTTAGAATTTTCTGATAAGGAGCCCTAGTGCATCACCAAACTGGAAATCCCAGGATTCTATAGAATGCATCCATGGCAGTTAACATGCAGCAGGTTACCTGAGAGTCTGGGTGTTTGTAGGGAAGAAAACAATTCTCCAGTACTAAAGTGCACTTCCAAAGTACCCTTAATACAGACTGGCATGGGAAAAAGAATTATTAATTGCTGTAATATGAGCAGTGATTTTAGCTATCCAGTAAGAATTGTTGCTTAGTGGTTTAGAAAAAGTAGGGGGCTCTAAAGTTGTAAACCTATTAAAGGTGAATGTTGTATTGTGCTATTTTTTCCTCTGCTGAAAACACTCAGAGAACACTCAGTTTTCCTGACACCATCCTACTTATTAATAGTTTTGTGTACAATTTGTTAATATTAATAATACTAATATTTGTTAATAATAATACTAATAATACAATATAATAATATATAATAATATTGCCATATAATAATAATAATACATTAAATAGGAAATGACTGGTAGTGTATTATAATATATCATGCTAATACTATTTTATTATTGTATATTTGTATATTTTAAGTTGTAATGTTTTTAATTGTGAACAGCTTAAATCTCCGAATGGAGAGAGAAAGAGGGATATAAATTAAATTAAAAATAAATTAAAAATGTGGTCACTATGTAGCTTGAAAGAAATCCTTGACAGAAATTCTGGGTTCACATTCATTCCAGAACTTTTTTATAAGGAAGGACTCCATTCATGCCCCACAATATGAACACCCACTCTCTAATTTACAGAATTAATAATATTAATATTAATAATAATATTTATTTATATCCTGCCCCATCTCCGCAAGGGACTTGGGGTGGCTCACAACATGAATAAATACAATAAAATACATAGAATAGAATAAACAATAACACACCCAATCAATATAAAAACAAACAAGATATGACAAACAAATAAAATTAACAATAAAAATTGTAAAACAATTAGACTAAAAACAGTCATTCCTATGAGATAAAAGGGGTCTACCTAAAGCCTTTGACTGTGTGGATCATAATAAATTGTGGCAAGTTCTTGGCATACCAAATCACCTTGTCTCTCTCCTGAGATATCTGTTTAAGGACCAAGTAGCAACAGTAAGAATTGACCATGGAACAACAGACGGGTTCAAGACTGGGAAAAGCGTACGGAATACAACAAACTTTAAACTTTTGGTTCAAGATTGGGAAAGGCGTACGGCAAGGCTGCATCCTCTCACCCAACCTTTTTAACTTGTATGCAGAACACATCATGCGATGTGCGGGGCTGGATGAATGCAAAGCTGGGGTGGAAATTGCTGGAAGAAACATTAACAACCTCAGATATGCAGATGACACCACTCTGATGGCCGAAAGCGAGGAGGAGCTGAGGAGCCTTCTAATCAAGGTGAAAGAAGAAAGCGCAAAAGCCGGGTTGCAGCTAAACGTCAAAAAAACCAAGATTATGGCAACAAGAATGAGACAACTGGAAAATAGAAGGAGAAACCTTGGAGGCCGTGACAGACTTTGTATTTCTAGGTGCAAAGATACTGCAGATGCAGACTGTAGCCAGGAAATCAGAAGACGCTTACTTCTTGGGAGGAGAGCAATGTCCAATCTCGATAAAATAGTAAAGAGTAGAGACATCAGACTGGCAACAAAGATCCGCCTAGTCAAAGCCATGGTATTCCCTGTAGTAACCTACGGATGTGAGAGCTGGACCATAGGGAAGGCTGAGCGAAGGAAGATCGATGCTTTTGAGATGTGGTGTTGGAGGAAAGTTCTGAGAGTGCCTTGGAGCGAGAAGATCCAACCAGTCCATCCTCCAGGAAATAAAGCCCGGCTGCTCACTGGAGGGAAGGATACTAGAGACAAAGTTGAAATACTTTGGCCACATCATGAGGAGACAGGAAAGCTAGAGAAGACAATTATGCTGGGGAAAGTGGAAGGCAAAAGGAAGAGGGGCCGACCAAGGGCAAGATGGATGGATGGCATCCTTGAAGTGACTGGACTGACCTTGAGGGGGCTGGGGGTGGTAACGGCCGACAGGGAGCTCTGGCGTGGGCTGGTCCATGAGGTCACGAAGAGTCGGAGACGACTGAACGAATGAACAACAACAACAACTACCCAAATCAAGGTATATCAACAACAATTTTTATTGATTAGCCAATTGGCCTTATCAAAAACAAACAATGCAGACATAACATACAACATACATCTAGTCCTCTTAAAATAAAATACAGATATACAGGTAGCCATAGATATATGCATCAACTATCCTCGTCTCCCCTACACTGCGCCCCAATCTGATCTATGTACTCTGATCTCCTTTTAGCAGCTTTAAACAGATAAAGGGCAACTTGTGTTGTCAGAGTGGGATTAGAGCCGGCCAACAGAAATGAAGTTTTGGCTGCTGTATCCCAACTTGTTTTATTGCAAATAAAAGGCCATAAGTATTGTTTCCTTTCTTTTTCATATAGATTGTATTGATGTAAAGTGTGGTCCAGATTTTCGACTTCAGGGGCACCACAAATACATAGACTTTCTTCATATGGGATACGATTGAATCTGCCGTGTCTCTCCATGGATTCAATTTGTTCGAATCTTGCCCTGGTAAAAGTGGTTCTTAGGTGTCTTGGCATGTCAGCTTTTAGGTATGGTGCCCTCTGGAAATGATGTTTAAAACGCCCTAACCACTTCAGGGATCCTGTGTTTGACAGGGTGGCTATATCTTTCTGGGCTTCAATATCTAGGATCCTTTGAGTTACTGTCCTTTTTTCAGCATCCCTATTCTGGCCTAAGGAGGCAATTTGTAATCCGCAGGTGCGGAGGAATCTTGTTAATTGTTCTGACCAGGAAGCTTGGTTTTGGCCAAACCAAGGTATATCAATATCACAGAGCTTGACTAATCATTGCCAAAAGCTTGTTTAAATAGCCATATCTTCAAGTCCCTCCTAAATGTCGTAAGGGTGGATGCTTCTCTAATCTCTCTGGAGAGGGTGTTCCAGAATCGGGGGGCCACTGCTGAGAAATAAATTCATAATGTGCTGAATTCCACATTTGATGCTCTCTTTGCATAATTGTGACGATTCTAGCAATTTCCTAGGCTGCTTATTTCCTTCTGTGATCAATCAATGATAGCCATCCCGTTCATGGTCATAACTCTATAGATGTCTTCTTGCTGTTCTCTTGAATCGGCTGTTAACTCTAGCCACCAAATGTTCTTTGTTTCTGTATTCATTGTGAGCCTTTTCATGGTCATTTTAGGATCCTTGCTTAATCAACCACACATTCGTGTTTGAAGTGTGTATATATAAAACACCTTTCAAAATATTCATATCGAATATAGTCAAATAGCATTTTAGGAACAATAATCTAGATACACAAGAAGTACAATAATAACTCGGTAAAAATTTATGTAAATAAATTTCTAAAGTTATTACAAAGCAGCTAGCTTTTTGTTTGATGACAAAAATACTATTACTATATCGTAAATAGCCTTCCCTGGACAGAGAATGATACATCCTTGGAGAACCATAAAAATGGGGGATTGTTCTGTATGGGAGTGTTTTATCCACTCAGAACATTTACAGACACTTTATGTGTGGCTTGTGTTGACCCAATTGATGGCTTGTAGCCAGCATTTCTGCCTCTTTTTACTTCATGAAGTAAAAAATTGTGCATAGTGTTAGGTTATTAACTGTTTTTATATTGTACTATTGAATTTTTGCTGTCTTGTCTGTTGTGAGTCGCCTTCGGGCTGAGAACAGCGGTATATAAGTAAAGTAAATTAATTAAATAAATAAATAATAAAATGCCATTGAGCAAAAGAACAGTATTATATATGATTTCTCAAAAGGCTTGTTGCCTTAGAAATAAAATGTTGGTTGTTTTTGGCCAGTAGAGGGAAGTCTATACTTAGATATTTTTTTTCTGCTCTGGCACTGCAGTGTAAAGCAAAATCTGTCTACTCAAAAGCATATAGATCGGATAATTCTGTTTTCTAGTGTGGAGGAAGCAAGAGTAGCCTCACATTAGCCCCTTATTTGTGATCATTATTTAGTTAACACTCTAGAAATAAAGTACATGCTTCAGATAGCTGGGGCAGAGCTGCAAACACCACAAGAAGCCATTTTCCCTTTGAATCTAGAAGAAAGAGCAAGACTTTATGATCCTGCAAGAGCATGTTAATTTTTATGATCATGTAAGGATTCCAGCAAAGCTTGCTGTAAATTGTAAATGGACAATGGCTATTCTAGTTTAATTTATAGTATAAAATATAAGTGGTATTGAATGTCCAGCCAGCCGTTGCCTTTCAGGTTTTTTGTGTGTATATGTCTGTGAGCATTATGTGCCAATATTCCAGTCCAAACTTTAGAAGAAAAGCAGCTGTACTCATGACTGCACTGCAGGGAAGAGGGAAATGTTTGAACCTACGTTTGTGCCATGTTAATGCTCAACAATGGTTTGAACTATATTTGCAACCCTCTGGTTTGAACTATATTTGCAACCCTCTGAATACAAGGGGAGTTTATGGTTAATGTTAGAGAACCTCTCTAAACATATCTAAAGGTTCTCTGTTTCCCCAAAGTTAACTTATTCCATGTCTTTCATAATTAAAATGAGCTCTTAATGACAAAGCGCGTTTTAAAAAGCTTTAATAAAAGAAAGCCAACAATACACATTGATTTACATTTGTCCTATCTGTAATATCTCTGAGGAATATAAATAGATTAAAGGTAAGTGATACATGCCCTGCAATTCAGTATAAGGTGAAAGGTAAACTTAATTAGGATCCAGTTTTGAAAATG